GCTGACCCCCGCCCTCTGCTCACAGACCCGCAGCAGCAACAATTCAAAGGACTTCTTCTCAGGCAGATACCATTTGCAAAGTTTGGCCTTCCCCAAGCCTCCTCTCTCCAAACTCATGACAAATCTCTGGGTGATCATTTCTTGGCCCCCAATGAGCCCTTTCCTCTTCAATAACAGCAGCTCTGGAATACAAGGTAGCCTCTCATGCATTGTTTGCCTCTTCTTCCCCTTTTCCTGAAGGTACCATTGGAGCACTACACACTGAGACCACCTCTCCTAATCATTTTGTTCCCTCTGCAAAGACACGGAGGTTACTCAGTGCAGAATCTCCAGGGACCTCCAGGCACCCAGGGCCAGGCACCTCCAGGGCCCCACTGCTGCTGCTGCCATCCCGACACCTGCGGGACACCCCGGGGCAGTATCACGACATCCATGGGCACCACTGGGATCCCCTGAGATAGCACTGCTGCAGCCCTGGGACTCCTGCCTGTGGCAGCCCCGAGAGACCCCCTCCATGATCGCCCCTTCCCAGCCACAGGCCACCACCCCGAGTGGGGCAGACGGCAGCACAAGCCATCCAGCTCCAAAGCACGGCCTGTCCGTGGTCTCCAGACTGGCCCAGCCCAGGCCAGCCAAGCCCAGGGGCCATGTGTCAGGAGGCGGTGGGGATGGGAAGTTGGTGCTGCTGGGGGAGTTCCTGCAAGGAGGGACCAGAACAGCTCCGGCCTTCTTCAGAGGAGAACCCCTAAATGCGAGTCCCAGCCCGGCTGGGGCCGCTTCTCCCACAGGCAGAGCAGGCAGGTGCCCTTTGGCCGGCGACTGTGCCAGGGCTGAGCCTGGACGAAGCTGAAGAAACCAGCTGAGGCTCGTGTAGGAATAACGTGGGGGTTTATTTCAGAGGTCCCACGGAGGCTCCGGTTCGAAGGGGATGAAGGGCGGGCGGCGCACGTAGTCCCCCGAGGCCAGCTCTTCCTCCCGCACTCTGTGCGGCCGCTCTTCCAGCTCCCTCCGCACACGGCGCAGGGGCACGGGGGGACTCTGCTCCCTATCCCCGTCGGAGAATCTCCGGCGACGGCGACCTCCAGGACCCCACTGCTGCTCCTCCTGCCGCCGCTGCTGCTCCTGCTGTCAGCGTAGCACGAAGGGATGCAGGTGGCGGCGGCGGCGACGGGGGGCCACCACGGCACGGCCGTCCTGCCTCTGCAGCAGGCGGATGGCCCCGATGGGCTCCCGGCAGAGCGGGCAGGGGGCAGCGGCCGCGGCCCAGCCCTGGATGCAGGCATGGCAGAAGACATGCCCGCAGGGCTCCACGGCAGCGGGGCTTTCGAGGGCCCCCAGGCAGAGCAGGCAGCTCCTGGCGGCTCCTGGCGCTGCTGCCTCATGCCTGGCGCCCTCCATCGCTGCTCCGGCCCTTGAGTCTTCGCAGCTGCTGCTGGTACTTGGGGGGTGCTGCTGCAAGGACTCAAAGGCTTGGCTTCCACTGGCGGCACTCGGAGCCCCCTCGTCCACTGCGGGACTCGGAGGCTCCTCGGCTGCTGGTGGCAC